CGAATGCCAATCCCCAAAGCCAAGTTTTCACCTGTTTCCTGAACGTTAAGATAGAAGGGGCAGTTCTGATCTCCAGTGGAAGGGAGTTCCAACTAGACTTAATGTCAAGGTTTCCCCTTGACATTAAGTCTAGTTGTGTCCAACTCTGGGGAATGGTGCTCATCTCCATTTCTAAACCGAAGAGCCAGCATTATCTGTAGATGCCTCCAAGGTCATGTGGCCAGCATGACTGCATGGAGCACCATTGCCTTCCCACCAGAGCGGTACCTATTGATTTACTCACATTTGCATGTTTTCAAACTGCTAGGTTGGTAGAAGCTGGCGCTAACAGTGGGAGCTCACACCACTCCCCAAATTCAAACCACCAACCTTTCAGTCAGCAGTTCAGTGGTTTAACCCACTGCACTACCTGTTCTCATTATGTTCCCATCAAAAAGTTGTGCCTTGTTCAATCATGTAGTCTACTATGCCTTCATCATGACCCATTGACGTATGAAAAGATTTTGTTCTCTGGTATGTAGAAGCAGAGTGAGGAAGAGACTGTGTTAGAATTATTTGTGGCCCTATTACACGCATATCCTTTCTGAGCCGCCAAATACCTCAGTGATAAGTGTTTCTGTAGAATTGTCTTGTTTTACAGATGGTGCAAACACCTCTCTCGGTGCTTTGCTGTTTTTGCAGATGTCCAGAGTATCAAGAGGATTTAGCTATCCTTTTAACAGACACAGCTTAGACATTCCCAAGTGTTTTTAAACATAACTCTTCCTTGCTGAAACTTCCCTGCTTCTGGTTTTTGTGGTCTTTTCAGAGATGCCTTTTGTATTATTCTTTCACTAAAATAGGGACCCCTGAACTCTGGACCCCCTCCATTCTATTTTTTCACTTTCTTGCTTTTAAATCAAACTTATTTAAATTAGTGTCACAAAGGTATTGCTGAAGTATATTTGTGTGTTAAATCTTGCAGTTTTGTACAGAAAAAAAATCATAATCCAGGAAGGTCACAGCTGTGCATGGCTCACAATCTGAATTTTATTTTCAGCCACTGCTGTATGAAGAAACATTTGGTTTTCAATGAATTGTCAGCACTAAAAAGGCCCACAGAGCTAGGTTCACCAGGGGTCTGAGAAACACTCTTTTTCAAGTAGGACTAAAAATATAGGACTAAAAATGAATAAATGGGCTGAATTAGACAAAACAATATAATATGAGGCTAATCAGGACTGAAACATAGAGGTATCTTTAACAGCCCATGTGAAAGAGTACATTTCCAAACCTTTTGCCATAGTTCCAATGAAAACCTAGTGCAAGGAATGTCTTGAACATTCAAAACAGCACTACAAGCCTATCGGACAGAGAACAATATTTAACTTTGCGGGCATAAAAAATAACTGAATAATCAGGATTATTCTGATACCTGAAAAATTGATAAGGGGACAGCAGTACTTCCAAGCTTCTGCCCAAAAGTAAAAACTCACATTATGTATTGGATCATCACATATGATATCTGACATCCTCCGGGAAGTAGCATTCAATAGTCAAAGGACCAAGGTAATGACATCTCCAGCCCATCCCCTGTTTGGATATCAGACAGCACGCCATCGACTTAAACCAAGAAATAGGTTTTTAAGAACTACAGAGACACTCGCTGGAACACCTCAGCAAGCGAGAGTCCAAAAGTGGCAGGCTAAAACCCAGCACCTCAATCCATGTCTGATACTAAACGAGAGACTCCCTCCTGGGCATACAGAAAACTGGGTGACTTGGAAGGCATGCGAGTGTGGAGAAGAGCAAACCACAGACCACCTACTACAGTGCAACCTGAGCTCTGTCACAAGCACAATGGAGGACCTTCTTATGGCAGCACCAGAGGCACTCCAATTGGCCAGCTACTGCTCAAAGAACATGTAATAGAATACCAAGTTTGCAAACTTTGTGGTTTTTTTAAAAATACGATACAACTGTTTAGTTCGCTCCTGACATGATAAATAAATAAATCACATATGAAAAAACCTATATCCCTGTTTTGCCCTCCACCATATGCAGACCTGACTTGTATTACAGAACCCTGGTTTGATGAGGCTGTGGATTTTAATATTCCTGTTCAGTACTGCTGAGACTTGAGGGGTCAGGGAGGTGCTGTTGCAGTAGTCCATTGAAATTTCACCCCCTGACCAGGTGCCCTGCCCTGCAGTTTACAGAGTTCAAGTGTGTTTACCTGCAGCTGGGTCTCCAGGAAAGATTATAGATTGTGTTGGTGTAATGTCCACCCTGCTGCTCAACAGTCTCCCCAAGCAAGCTGAAAAGCTAGTGTTGGAATTCGCCTATCTTGCAGTACAACAGAATTTCAATACACATGCTTTAGATTGCCCTGTCAGGGGCAGCTCAGGACTTTATGTCTTCTATGACAACCACTATTTTACAGTGGCTCCATTCATTCCTGGAGGAGCAAACCCAATAGTGGGTGCTGATGAACTCCAATTTGACCTTTCTGTTTGTGAGGGTCTTGTACGGCTTAGTTCTGCCTTGATACGTTTTAACATGTACATAAAACATATACACTGAAAAAGATCATCTGAGGTTTGAGGGTTCAGTGCCTCTATTATTCCTTTCTATCCCAATCCAAGGAAGCTGTATAGGTCCGAAACTGAGGCCTGTCATCAACAGTGGACTGGATGGTAGCAGACAAATGGAAATGTAATCCAAACAAGATGAAGGCGTTCCTGGTCTGTCAAAAGGCTGGTTAGGGAATAGGGATTCACTCTGCACTTTACAGGATTACATTCTCCCTGAACACTGGAATGAGCTATCTCAGTGGCTGCCCCCAAGAGAAGTTAAACTGGCAACCTCTCTACAGCTAAAGCACTCAGGAAAGATGCCCGTTGGTTCTCTAATTAGAGATCGTCAAAAAAAGGAGAATCCGCCAACCACTGAAGTACTCTATTCCAATGTTGAACAGTTCTTGTAGTAAAGATGTTTTTTCTTATGTTTAGATGTAGTCTCTATTCTTGTAATTTGAATCTATTATTTCTTACTGTAGTCTGAGGAGCAGAATTGTTCCTCAGACTATATATGGAAACTATATTCATGCTAATACAGGCTAGATTTTAGTAAAGAAAAATATTAGCCATTATGCATTTTCAGTACGTTAATTTTTATTTGAATTGTCATGCTAGTAGTCAACATCATCATAACAAATAAGAGCAAGCAAGCGATAGAGTGAACGGGGGTGAGCAGGGGTGGGATTGCGAGCAGGGGAGGGATGGCAAGTGGGAGAGAGTGAGCAGGGGGAGCGATCAAGGGGGTAAGAAATGTGCAAGTGAGCAAGAAGGGGGAGCAAGTAGACAAGTGGGGGTGGGCGAGTGGTGGGCAAGTGATTGAGCAAGGGGGGCAGGCAAACAACCAGGCAAGCAGGCAACCAAGCATGGGTAGGATGACTAGCAGGTGATGGTGCACATGCCAAAAGAAAGGTGCTGCATCCTCCTTCTGGCAAGCATGCCATAGGTTCTCCACCACTGTACTATAGTATTTTGATCATGCTCATAACAAGTTCTGACCACCTTGTAAATGTGACACATTCGGTTAGAAGATGTCACCTTTGGTTAGAAGCACTACTGCAGGAAAGAGCAAACCTGTTATCACATTTAAATCAGTTGCTGCTGTGGTTTTTGGTGTGTGCCTTCAAACACCTTCTGAGCTATGGAAACTCTAAGGTGAACTTATCATGTGGTTTTCAGGGCAATATTTATTCAGCGGGAGCCTTGCTTTCCTCTGATATTGAGAGTGGCCATACAGTGGTTTCCACACCCAAGCAGAGGTTTGAACCCTGATCTCCCAAAGTCCTAGACCAACAGCTAAACCACTACACCAGATTGGCATTCAATTAAATCAGGCCTCATAATAATTTTATAAGGATTTATGAGTTTTTGAAATTATGTGTTTCTTGGCTAATCCTCCTTTTCCACTCAGTTTATATACCTGGGTGTGTCTGTGCTTTCATTTCAAAACACGTAATTAAAAACTCTATGGCTGCCCCATTTATTTCTGTATCAGGGGAATCTATATATAGTCAGTGGGGATCCTGAGTGCGTGGGACAGTGGTGTGCAACCCCGAGGACACACAGAGCTGGGTCATCTCTTCTCTGAGTTTCTATCTTTACTTTATGGGTTAAATGGGACATGGAAAGTTTTGTGAAGAATAATTGCTGTTTTATACTCAGAAGATTTTAACAGCTGTGCCACAATGACAGCTGCCAATTGCAAAAGAAAGCGAGGCTAAAAGGAGCTATCATTCTGTCAAACTATATGTGCTATCATTCTATACTTGTATTCATCTTTTTGCATTGATTTGACACTGTTACTTAGTGTGAAGTTCTTATTTTGTTAACCACAAGGGTAGACGCTGTATACATGCAGATGGATTCCCAAACATAAAAGCTATTTGCATAGAATATGTTTGCTAGTGGGGATTGTGGGGAACCACATCTCTGTGTACAAAAGTTTTGCAAAGCAACTGGCACTTTAATCCAAACAATTAGTATTAAGCTGTAAAAATTTCAAGCAACCAAATTTAGCTTCCCCTTTAGGTGTTCCTATTTTGTTCAGACATAGGATCCAATTGAATACCAAATACATATTTCTCACAAGTGGCCGCACTGCTGTCAAAGTGTCTCTTGCTTCTTTGGTTTCTCAGATGTCCCGTAGTCTTTATGGTGTCAAATTCCCCTTGGGTGCAAATACCTCTTCTGCCATCCCCTGACACCTGACGTCACCAACTACAAGTGCATTTAGGATGCCCTGTAAATGTGTCCCTGGACTTTCATTATATTTTACCATATATCTTACCAATGGTTCTGGTTGTTTTCCCACTGTCTGGAATTTTGTTGGAATGGAATGAGACAGATTTAGCAAGCAAGGCATCCAATCCCTTAGGAAACTGGATGAAGAAGAATCTGAAGATGTGCTTTTCTTCCACTGTCAGTGCATCTACATAAACAGGCACAATGACTACCTCAAACAAGAAGACATCAGTGGTAAACTCCTTGGCCAAAATATTTGACCCAAATGCTTTACAGAGCCAGCGTCTTCCTAATGAAGAGGAACCCTCTCCTGGTTGCCCATTAATAAGGGAAGATGTCAATAGCCCTGAAATCATGAGTGGGCTGGATGCGAAGGTTGCTTCCTTGGATCAGAAGATAAACATATTGTTGACAGTGCAGGACAATGTTCTTCAGAAGCTGGATTGTGTTTCTCAAGAAATATCTTCAATGGGAAATAACATTGACCTCTTGAAGGGAAAAGACAAAAACTCTGGAGTATCCACTGCAACACCCGAAAAATTAGATGTGAATGTATTGTGCATAGAAATTAATGAAAAGCTCTCTGATATGACGAAGAATGCGGAACAACAAGCCAAAAGGTTAGATGGACTGGAGCATGTTGTGATGGGTGTGCATCAGCTTCTTGGTTCTTTGGTAGAAAAATTAAAGACTTCTTCAATTGTGGATCTAATGCGCAGAAATGAATCTCCTCGTAAGCTCCTTAGAGTTGGTGGTTATTTGAGAAAAGATAAATCGGGAAATCTTTTCCGCATGCAGACATTCTCAGACAAAAAAGAAAGCTTGTTCTGCAAATGGAATGAAAAGGTGAGCCCAGCCTTGCTATTAGTGCTTTTTCTCTATTGACCTCAGTGGACATTGTATTCAAATTTGCATCAGGGTGGAGAGGAATGCACAAAATTAGAATTTGTAACCAATGAAAAGTCACATTCAAGAAATGATACCTGTTGTCTTTTTCTTAATGTTCCATTTCTAATGCACTTTTTAAAAAAAAGCATAACTATAGGAACAGTTTTGTTACTTTTCTTGTACAAAATTCCATCCATTTCAATCGAAATGAGTTCTAACCAAACATTAAGTATCACTTGTTACAGAATTCCCAGTCCAATTCCAGGTTGTTGTTGCTGTTTTGTTTTGACCAGAAACCAGATATAGTCTCTTCCTGTAATTTGTTTGTGCTGGGCAATGTTAATTATTATAATTATATTATAACTGCTTGCTAATGGATTAATTAGCACAAAACCCTAAAACATGGATGTGCCTTTGGGATCTTTTTAGAGCCATTTCATCTTTAGATGGGCTCTGAAATGAGAAAATGATGAAATGGATCACCTTAAACTGGTGACCTAAACCAATAATTGCCTGAACTGAGAAGTGATAATCACAATACTATTTAGCATTTCTTTATCATGTGTAAAGTGTTCCAGACAAGGTGTCACTCATCACAGTTTTAGCACTATGATTCCATTTAAACTATATGGCTTCATCTATAGGATTTTTGGGAACTTGTATTCTTTTGAGGCACTGAACATCTCTGGAAGAAAATTTTAAATATTGCTTCCTAAACTTTAAATTTCAGGGCTTTCATAGGGGGTTGCTATGGCAGTTAAAGTGCGGCGATAGTGCTATTATTGTGTAGTTTGAAAGAGCCCCAGAAGACCTACACGCATAGGCTAGGATCCAGTGCTGTAATTCTGTAGGCTCCCTTGTTTTCTCCTGTAGGTTCTTCCCTTCTTCATCCAGCTGCTGTTTTCCATGGTTCAAAAAAACTATTCCAAGGGGGATCTAGCCTTGCCAAGTGACTTTTAAGGCACATATGAGGGTGCCCGAGAGAATTTTCTGCTGACCGAAGCTGTAGAACAGGGATCCCCAAACTAAGGTCTGTGGGCCAGATGGGACCCTCCAAGGTCATCTACTCACCCTGCCCTAAACTTTAGACTTAGGATCACTCTAAGTCTGAAACGACTTGAAGGCACACAATAATAACAATCCTAATTCACTTGAATATCTTACCAACCAAAAGCAGACCCACACTTCCCATTGAAATGCTGGCAAATTTATGTTTGCTAAAATTGTTCTTCATTTAAAATATTGTATTGTTCTTTCATGGTTTTTTGCACTACAAACAAGTCATGTGCTGTGTGCATAGGCATTTGTTCACACTTTAAAAAAATTATAGTTCCCCCCACCCCACCCCAAACAGTCTGAGGCCATCAGCTTAAAAGGTTTGAGGATTCCTGCTGTAGAATCTATCGTTGGATGCTGGCCATTATCTCACTAATCTGTAAAACATTTCTATGGGGGAGCCTTCATTGTCATCTCCATACTAGTCATGTTGGGACTGAGTCAACAGTGGTCCACTTTCCTGGTGAGAGAAAACTTGAATAAGGACTTGGATGCCTCATAGATCATCCTCTTGGGCACTATCAAATTGACTAGTCTTTATTTAAAATATAATCCATTGAGCCAAACATTTTACAAAACCATTATCCTTAGACAACCTCACTTTCTTCTTACAGAAAACATGACTGGAGTAAACATATGTAACCCAATAAAGGCCAAGACAGTTGGGTCAGCAGCAAGGATTCAGCTTATGAAGTGTTTCCTTTCAGTAATTTAGCCCATGGTTCCATCATGTGTCTGGATGTCTTTGCAAGCACCATGTCAATTAAAAATAACTGAATAGAAAAAATGGCATATAACATTTAATGAAGACATGGAAAGCATATGCTTATAAGGTGCTTGCAGATATCAGGATCTTATTGGCCATGAAAGTCCACTGGGTTACTGGGCAAATCATAACATTTTCACCCTCAGGAAATCATATGATAAATTCACATACAGCAATGGTTTAATGGTCACATCTACCTTTTATAGAAGCTACTGTTAAATTAATTTGGAATAAAATCCCATTGATTTAACCATGACATAAGAATGCTTTTATCTCTTAACTATGCTATTGTAGTTGATCTTTGTTACATGTCATTTGTGAAGAGTTTTAATTATTTTTTTAAAGAAAAATAATATCTTTTTCTTTCAAGAAAATCAGTAGTGGTGAATCTTGGTTGAATGTGCTTAATATTTCTGTGGATGTTGGGTTTTAATCTCAGTAGCCACTGTCAGTATCATGTGCATTAAGGCATAGCAAAACGGAGTCTTGGCTGAGCGACTTGGTGAGCAGAGAACGATGTGAAAGGAGGGAGAGTTTATGATGCTGTAAATTTAGCAAGTCTGATATCAATAGCAGACATCACTGGGTAATTGCTGAGTCCATATTTCTTCAGGAACACCATTCACATGCTTTAGCATCTCCCATTTTATTGTTGCTGTTTTGTTGTATTTATTTATATCCGGCTTCATCTCCCCCGAAGGGGACTCAAAGTGACTTAATAAAAAAGCACCAGCATAACAATTCAAAAATATACAAATATAAGAACATTAAAACAGGATTAAATATAACCAGCATTTTAAAAATCCCAGTTAAAACCATTAAAACACATTCAAAGTTAAAAACCACCAAACCCCCTTAAACATTTTTATCCTCTTCCTACTTTCTGTCATTGCCTGACTGCTTTGCTTCCCACTCTAAAAATGGAAATACAGGAGTAAAGAAACTGAAAAGTTGGTGATGTAGGTTATGCCCATGGTTAGAAGGCAAAAAAAGTGGACCACAGGGCCTTGAAGAGGAACTGCTAAAAATATAAATAAACGGGTCTAAGAACAAATCAAGCCTTCACTCTCCATAGAGGCCACAATGAATAAACTGGGGCTGTCATACTGTGGCCATATTATGAGATGAGATGACTCACTACAGAAGATGTCTTGCTAAGGCAGTGGGAAAAGAAGAAGCCTTGAGCTTGAATATTGTTGAAATCACTTTGAAGGCTGTCAACAACAACAAAACAAAATAATGAAACTGCCAAATGATACAAGAAATTTGGTACATTAGGACCTTAGCAGCTGTTCTTCTAAGGATATTTACTCTAGTAATGTTTTGAGTTCTTTTTTAATTAATCTGTATATTGGAATTTTGGTACTGTTATACATTATTTGTGTCAGAAAAAAAACACACACACACACAACCCCCAACTCTTGGTGCTATATATCACCATCTATGAAGTTAGTTTGGCTGGGAGTGATATGCTGAAGTGCTTAGCATCAACATTCAGGCTAAGTAACTCAGCCACAACGCTTAATGTGAGATATCTGAGCCTAATCAATTTCTCAGGGCATTTTCAAGGCAGACCTCTATATAAACACTTGTGTGCAGATAAACAATGTTCGCAAACGCACATTTCCATATGTAGTATATAATATACTCCATACATAATTTTCCCTGTTAAGTGCAGTTGAACTGAATCCATCAAACGGTTCCATTTGGCACCAGATTCAACCTGATGGGATGATAAAGAGTAAATGCTTCAGGCAGCTCCATGAAAACCTTCATTATAGAGCTTCTGGCATGGGAAGAAAATCAAAGGGTTTTATTGGGTGAAAAAGGGTGGGAGAGCAAAAGATGAATATTAGAAACCTTGCCAGGTTAGTCCTGGTGTGGCATAAAGAAGGAATTCAATACTTCTTTTTATGAAAGAAGAAGTCAGGTGTTCATAAAAACTCCCACTTAATATTCATCTGAATCTTACAATGTTTCTAGTATGTATGTCTAATGATGCCTTAATGTCATATTTTTGCTTTTTTAAAAAATCTATAATCTTTGAAACATGTCCTCCAAGCATTGGATAAGGTTGTGGCAGCTCAGGTCGGAAACTGATTATGAGCAAAATTAAAGTCAGTTCTTCTGACTAAGCAGCTCCAAGAACATATTGCCCTAGCAAGAATTTAGGCAAATATTATGTTCTGGAAGGAACCGCCAGAGATCTTAGAGAAAGAAGACTCTGTTCTGCAAAGCACAGTACAACCCCCATTCCCCTTTGAATTCAACCTGCTCTGCTGCTGCCAAATACACTGTGCTCTGGATGCTTTTGAGAAAGTGGTAATTAAAAGCAAATATTTTGCTGGGTTAGACTGGAGCTTTTCCCAGTCTTGGGTCCCCAGTACTGTTGGACCATAACTCTCATTATCTCAAACCACCGGCCATGGGCAGCTGGGGATGATAGTAAACCAGCAGGAGCCTGGGAACTAAAGTCAGGAAAGCCCGAATTAATCAAAGGCACGGTGCTCTTAAACTGCAAGTGAATTACAAACCTTGGTACTGTACCATTAAATTGGTACTGTACCATTTACGAAACTGGAGGGAGGCGGACCCACCAATAAATGGTTCAACAAATTATAATGGAACATATGTTTTCTGAAACTACACTAAAGTTAACAATGTTGTGAAAACACTATAACAATACCTTAGCATTTAGCAATATCTCATTTCTTTTGAGTCAGCTATGGATTAAAACTAATTGTTATAAAACATTTGGACTCTAACATCCCAAGTCCTTAGCCAAGATAGTTAGTGGGTCTTCTGACTGATGGTGTGGGTTTTCATGCAAAAGACAATCAGATGGAGTTTATTAGGCTTCCTTTTCCACAGCATTAATAAAATTAGCTATTTGCCTCTGTTGTTTTCTCTGAGAGTACCTCCACTAGTGTCCTCCCTCACTACTGGTGCTTGGCATTTTGAGTCCAGTTCCTAAGCAAAGACCTGACATGGGAGAACTTTTACTGAATGAAATAGCCATGTGGATTTTTTTTGGTGGAGAGAGCATTTTCTGTACAATATAATACTTGAAAAGTACATGGGAAACAGAGTTACAAATTACAGAACAAGATATGAGATAAGTGGTAGAGACGATAGGGATGATAAGGAATACAAAAGTAATGAGGAAGAAAATATTACATAATTTTATTACACCCTATCAATTAGCGTACTATTATAAAGATGGGAGCAGTCACTGCTGGCATGGATGTAAACAGAAAGCGTGGTTTATGCGCATGATGTGGGAATGTGAACAAGTACAATACTTCTGGCAGACTATACAAAATGTGTCAAACCAAATATTAGGAACCAATTGAGTGATAACAAAAGAAATTGCCATCTTAGTACAAAGAGAGGGAGTGGGAAATAAAGGAAGCAATAATTGAAGGCACACAAGCGATGATAGTATAGGGATGGAAAGACAAATCAAAGTGGGCAGTATGTATCAGTATATGATGGACCAAATGTAATTCAAAAATTATGGATGTAAAATTAAATGATTCAAAAGGTAATGAAAATAAAATGCGAGAAGTTGAAGAAAGATGGAACCGGGTCAAGAATTATATTATGAATCAGGCCATAAGAAACAGGATACAAATGTTATATAGTATGTAAAAGGATTGTTTCAAAAAGGATTAATATGTGAAAGAAAATAATCCTTGTGGTAGTGGTGGTGGTGGTGGTAGTGGGAATTGTAAATGTTGTGTATGTGTAAAGTCGCAACATAGGCATTCTCATTGTAGAAAAAGAAAGCATTTTTACACAGAAAACAGAATTTTGTTAACAGAAAATAAGCTTTCTGTGAAAAAAAAACCTTACTAACTTTGAGAAAGAGTTTTGTACAATAAAGAATGTTGCCTGTTCAAAAATGCAGCCTTATCTTCAAAGAAAAACCTGTTTGCATTTCTTTTGTGCAGTATAAATCCTACACTTGAATAATTTTTGAAAATATACCAGTTTTCTATAACTTTCTCAAGGAGGAGAAAAAACAATAAAATTATTCATAAAATTTGCAAATTTTTACAGTGACAGCATTACTAAGCCATACATTCTTACAAGTACTGATTTCAATGCTACCTCTTTCCTACAAATTTAAGTTCAACCTATTTTTAAGCAAGCATTTTCATGAAACCAAATGTTGTACTAAGAATCAAATCATATTAAGTCCAATCAGTTTCGTTAAGCATGCAATTCTAATCTCAGTGACTGGTACTTGTATTTTCTCTGTTTACAGACACATCTATTAAAATGTTTGATGTATTATCCAGCTCTTCAGAACATTACGATATTTGTTCTGCTTTTCTGTGAGAAACCCATTAGTAAAAGCTTCCTGTAGGTGTCACTGTGACATTGTAGAAAAAGTAGTGCCACTGAGCATGGCATATGAATTTACTCAGAACTCTGAGTAATGTTTCATCAATGTTTTATAACAGTAGGTTATAGCTTTTAAAATGTGTTACTGTTTTTGAATGCCTACCAGTCATGACCATATAGCTAACTGAAACTTGTCAGAAGATCTATAATGCTAGGAATGCATTGTCGAAGGCTTTCATGGCCAGAATCACTGGGTTGTTGTAGGTTTTTGCGGATTATATGGTCATGTTCTAGAGGCATTCTCTCCTGACGTTTTGCCTGCATCTATGGCAAGCATCCTCACTACCTCTGAGGATGCTTGCCATAGATGCAGGTGAAACGTCAGGGGAGAATGCCTCTAGAACATGGCCATATAGCCCGAAAAAACCTACAACAACCCAATGCTAGGAATATTGAAAAAAAGCTCGCTGTTATATTCTGCTCTCATTATTCTGGTCATGAGGGATATCGATAATTGCATATTTGGGGCATCAATTTTGTTGTTGTAAATTAGCAGGAACCCAGACTATCTCAAGGTTTTGCAAATGATTTTATTCTTTTGGTGGAAGTGAAACAAACATTGGAAAGTTTATTAGTTATTCTGGGAGACAGATTGTGTTTAGAACATTAAATATATGGCATACTATCCAAATAAGAAATAAACAGATAGAAGGGATATTGATTTATATTTTTGTAATGGTGTCACAGATTGTTCTTGTTATGTGCCTTCAAGTTCTTTCTGACTGACACTGACCGTAAGGCAAGATTTGTTCAGGAGGGTTGCCTTTGCCTTCCTCTGAGGTCAAGAGAATGTGACTTCCCCATGGTCACCCAGTGGGTTTCCAATTTCCATTGGATCTTGGTCTCCTGAGTCATGCTCAATCCACAACAACATACTGACTCTCAATGAGCCTGATAGCGCTAAAAACTAGAGTTCTTAAAAGGTTAAATAAACAGAATGATGTGTTATGATACAACAGTCTTAAATAAAGTACCTTGGGCACTATGGGCAAAATGAGATATATAATGGAAGTAAGTCTCTCAACTCTTAGACCTTTCCTCTTGAGCTGGTCATTGACCATAATAAAGTGAACCTGTAATGGAAGTAGTATTATTGCTTCACTCCAGAACTGGGGAATTTTGGGCAAACTCAGTATGTTATAGAGCAGGGGTCCTCAAACTAAGGCCCGGGGGCCGGATGTGGCCCTCCAAGGTCATTTACCTGGCCCTCACTCAGGGTCAACCTAAGTTGTCAACAACAACAATCCTATCTCATCAGCCAAAAGTAGGCCCAAACTTCACATTGAAATACTAATAAGTTTATATTTGTTAAAATTGTTCTTCATTTTAATTATGGTATTGTTTTTAAGTGTTTTTTGCACTACAAATAAGAAATGTGCAGTGTGCATAGGAATTCATTCATTTTTTTTAAATTATAATCCGGCCCTCCAACTGTGACCTGGCCCCCTGTTTAAAAAGTTTGAGGACCCCTGTTATAGAGTGTGTGTTTGTGTGTATGTGTGTGTGTGTGTGTGTGTGTGTGTGAGAGAGAGAGAGAGAGAGAGAGAGAGAAAGCTATCAACACATACCCAATAATTTTCATAAGATTTGATTAGGCAAGAACTACTCAGAAGTGATTTTGTCAGTTCCTTACTTTGAAATATAGCTTACAGCACTTGCTTTCCATTGATAGCCCTGTATCCAAGTACTAACTAGGGATGACCTGTTTAGCTTCCAAAATAAATAGGATCTAGTGCCTTTAGGATATATAGGTCAGTGTTAAAAGAGCTATCCAAGGTGCTGAGCCATATCCCCCAAATAACAGGAGAGGGATCACTATGACCCCATTAAATTAGAAACCACTGTCTATCACTGTGAGGATTCAAAAGAAAAAAAGATTTTCGACTGAAGTTTCACACACTGATTTCAAAGAACCAACCAGACTTTTTATTGCCTGTGAGTTGTGCCTATTGAATTTTATTTTCAAGTGAACATACATTGGATATGTGGATAATAATGTTGTTTAAAGCAAATACCCTGCTTTATACCATCTGCACTTCACAACTGACTATAACAGAGCAGTTTTGTTCTTTGTCTGTTGCTCCTACTGTAGAAGCCATTCATAGTTTGCATTAAATTAAAATTTTCACTATTTGGCCATTACAACATATTTTAAGAGTATCTGTGGTGGAAAGGTGGAACCTTGACAGATTAGCTAAAAAAATACCAAAGTTAGATATCAAAATATTTTCAATTTAAATTAGTTTAATTTTTGCAGCATATTTATTTCTGATTTCTTCATTATGTGTTTTTATGCCACAACAGCAAAACCATAAAATTTACTTATCCCTCTGATTACACAAAATCAGTAAAAACAGAGTTTCTTAGGCTACTCAAGAATACATGTTCCATTGAGAATTTTATCCAAATCTTCATTGTGGTGAGGAATACAGAGAGCAGTACAATAAATAATGAATAAAGTTCTTGACCACAAAAGTAACACTTTATGGGAATCATGACATACCTTCCCATCCAATAGCTGCTCATTTTTGGAACTAAAAATTCATGGATATACTTGTCTTAAAGGGATGCCTATCAATTCAAAGAGGTAATTTCAGAATTCTATCATGGTGATAAAAATATGATATCACTGTAGATATTGTACAAGTCAAACTTTTGATCCGATATAATGAAAAACAATGTGTAGAAGAAAATGTAAGATTAAACAAATGCTATTGGTTATGAAATCTTAAACCTAAAATGTATGTTTTTCTTCCCATAGGAAAAGTCGTGTCTGACTGCAAAGGGAATAAAACCTATAAGCAAAAAGAAGAAACCTCCTGATTCCTCAGGTCAGTTTTATGTGTCTTCAACTACCAATAAACTAATATCTTTACCATCAATAATGCAATATTGTTGCTAGAGACAGAAACTAGACTCATCTAAAGTATGTGTGTGTTATTTGTTATTGTTTGTGGTAGATTTTATTGACCATGGGCCGTTCTGGGATGGATTTTTTAAGTCTTGGCCTTTTGTCCATGGGATCTGTGGCTAGTCTACACCTCTAAACCATCTCATTGTACTATAAGCCATACTTATGCAATCAATGTCTCCATGTATTCCTATATATAGATCAGCCACTTACCACATTAGAAATGTCCACAATCAGTATTTAAATATATGAGATGGAATTACACAGATTGGCCATAATTATCTGTTGACATAACTTGTGTTTGTTTGCATACTTTGGGTAACATAGACCCCTTCCACACAGCTGAATAAAATCTCACATTTTCTCCTTTGAACTGGAATATATGGCAATGTGGACTCAGATAACCCAGTTCAAAGCAGATATTGTGCAATTTTCTCCCCTGATATTTTGGGTTATATGGCTGTGTAGAAGGGCTCTTAGTTTTGTTCACTTCAAAGAAAGTCCTAGAACAATTGTATTATGAGTCAACAATGAAACAAGGTAGTGAATGCAATCCTCTTTTTAAAAAAATGTGGCATTTACAGAAGGTTGGGAGAATGTAGAATCATCTTTACAGTTAGTTAATTCATAATTTGAAAAAAGCAAATGCGGAGAAACTGCTTTTATTTATAATTTGACAAAATGTGAATATATTCTGAGCTTTTGAATGGATACACACACACCTCTCTCCTAGGCCTAAAATGTTCTAGGGGGACTTAAAGCAAAAAAGTTGGATACCTTTGATAGGTGCACACCTCCTGGTGTAATCTCCCAGCTCCCCGTAGTTGCTCACTCCTGAACTAGGTACAAGGTAAATCTCCTTTATCCAAAATGAATGAAATCAGAGGTATTTTGGATTTTGTTTTTGGATTTCGGAATATCTGTATTTTCATATATGTACATAATGATACCTTGGAGATGGGACCCAAAGCTCAATATGAAATACACTTATTATTATTATGTTAATGCCAGTATTATGTTTATTTATACCCCACGTTTTCTCTCCACAAGGAGATTCAAAGTGGATTATGTTTATGTTTCATATGCACCTTATACATAGAACATGAAGTTAATGTTAAACAATATTTTAAGAATTCTAATTATATGCAACGAACCACCAGAAATCAAAGGTATCACTTCCATTTCTTTTGCTATTAGACTTTGGACAATGTATTGTCAAAGGCTTTCACAGACAGACCCACTGGGGTGTTGTATGGTTTCTGGGCTGAATGGCCATGTTCTAGCAGCATTTTCTCCTGATGTTTTACTTGCATCTGTGGCTGGTATCTTCAGAGGATCTGATGGTAGTAAAACAAGTGGAGTTTATATATCTGTAGAATGTCCATGATGGGAGAAAAGAACCATTGTCTGTTGAATAAGTGTAAAGGGTGCGCTTCGTAAGTTAGATTTGAGTGGGTACCACCCATTAGCATGTGAGTAACCACGAAGATAGCCTAGTCAGTTAGTGAGTGCATCTGCATAGAAGTAGCCTGGCCTTCGTTCCCTTTCAAGGGCTAGTGAACACCACTCAGACAAAAGATGTCTCAAGGCAGTTGATTCCAGTCATAGATGCAAGCGAAACATCAGGTGAAAATGCTGCTAGAACATGGCCTTAGATCCCAGACATCACACAACACTCCAGATTTTGGACAATTTGGAATTTTGGAGCAATTCAGATGTCAGAATTTTGGAGAAGGAATGCTTAACCTATATAAATACTGCTTTGCACTGTTAGCAAAAAAAACCAAACAAACAACAAAAAACGCAAAATGTGAGATTGTGCTCAGAATTTCACCACAATCTGATAGCAAAAGTTATAAAATAAAAGAAAAAAGTAAAAAAATTCAGAAAGCAATCATTTTGCATCCTTAATGTTATGTAGCTAACCATGAACAGGAAAAAGGGAGAGACAGAGAGTGGCAACAAAAATGCATTGACCATAACATGTTGTTAGGCTCCTAACGTATAGAGTGTTTGGTTGACCAGACAGTTTAGCTCAGATGTAGAATATAGTTTTGGTTGGAAAGTCCCTGGCTTTCCAGAGGGAAAACTGGGTAGCTAGTCTATAAGTTACAAAAATGGTGCTGCATGATCATTGGTATTTTCTCTTTGGTTCCAGAAGAATCTGATGACACAGAAAAGATTCATAAGCTCAACAAAGAGAATGCTGAAAAGGCCAGTCCATTTTTTGTTCAGAGAAGTTCCTCCAAATCTCTTAGTCATGAATTAAAGGAAAAGTCAGTGGCAAGCCACTGGAAACCCCCTCTTCAGAAGACCGCAGAAAAAAGCCAGGCAGAAGATAATTCTAAGGAAACTCATAATAAACAAAGCGGCCATGATACAAAGGGCATTGGAAAGAAGACTGAAGAGTGCAGAGGAAGCTCAGAAGGATTGGGAAAAGATGTTGAAGGAACAGATAGCAGCAGCGATAAAGAAAGGAAAGCACTGGAAACTACACCTGAAAGTGAAGATGCATCAGAAGCTGTTGGTCCATCAAAGAGCCAGGATCAAGATGTGGAGTACGTTTTATATAATAGACCATATGACTTCATATTTGTCCACAGGATTTTATACATTGATTGTTATTTACAGGAGGCTAACATATTATGCAAGGGATCCAGTCAGGAACTCCTTGCATAATACAGTTATTTCATAATTTGGAATCCTATTTTTCTTACTGAAATAAATGATTTCTTGGACTTCTAACAAAGCAATACCATAGAATCATGCAGGAGGACTTAACAATGCCTCAAAAAAGTGTTTTATAAGAGTGTTCTGTGCATTATCTGGTAGAAACAGTGGTGGAAGTTGATCATAAAATTATTTATTTATTTACTTCAAATATTTGTACCCCACGCTTTTCTACCGCTGAAGGGGGACTCAGGGTGGCTTACAGCTAGCAACAATTCAATGCCCCCCATATACAAACAGATAAAACAGCAGTTATAAAACAAGTAAAATGTTAATTTAAATTAAAACCATTTAAAATAGTGTAAATTGAATTAGTTGGCCAAATCTAAATCTGAGTTCTATGATGAACAACTTAGTCCGAAGACTGTCCACAGTCCATTTACCATAGCATTTCATCATTTATCAACCTACTATCCAAATTCCGGGTCCCATAGCCATGTTTTCAACTTTTTCCTGAAGGACAGGAGGGAAGCAGTTGATCTAATTTCGCTGGGGAATGAGTTCCACAGGCAAGGGGGCCCTTTCCCTCATCCCCGCCAAGCGCGTTTGCGACAGAGGCAGGATTGCGAGCAGGGCCTCCCTGGAAGATCATAAACTTTGAGGTAGGACATAGGGGGAGATGCGTTCAGACAAGTAAGCTGGGCCAAAACTGTATAGGACTTTATAGGTCAAGACCAGCACTGTGAATTGTGCTTGGAACTGGACCGGAAGCCAGTGGAGCTGACATAACAGGGGGGTGATATGCTCCCTGTATTCTGCTCCAGTAAGTAATCTAGCTGCTACCCATTGGACTAGTTGAAGTTTCCGAGCAGTCTTCAAAGGCAACCCCACATAGAGCGTGTTGCAGTATCTATTTGGGATGTAACAAGAGCATGGACCACCGTGGCCAGATCAGACTTCCCAAGGTATGGGCACAGCTGGCGCATAAGTTTAAGTTGTGTAAAAGCTCTCCTGGCCACTGCCAAAATCTGGGGTTCCAGGCTCAGCGATGAATCCAGGATCATTCCCAACCTGCGAACCTGGGGAGTGTAACCCCATCCAACACAGGCTGTAACCCTATGCCCTGTTCGGCCTTTCATGATGGAGGCCTAAGATGTTATTTTATCATGGTCTAATAGCATTTAATAATAATCTGTGAAAATGGAAACATATCACCCTCGCTCCTCTTCCTTTCACACCCAATTAATACAGATTGCATTGTCCAGTAACCATACCAACATGTAAACCACCCCTCCCTACCCATACTTTGCCCTCCCTAATGCATGTCCCAAACAGGATTACGGAAGCTGAAATGCATTTTAAACTCCACTGTAGGAATGTGTGTAGGGGGCTACAGCATATCTAGTAAGGATGGAAAAAAACCACTGAAGATGCTATCCATTTGTTCCTAAGGCTTCCAGTTATTTCCAAAAAGGTCCTAGCCATACAATGAAGTTCATAAGACCTTCCATCATGGGATGAATTCTAAAAAAAACATGAACTCCCCTGTATTACCACAAGTGACTCCTTTCTCTTGTGCATACCACTTTTCTTCTAAATGTGGCACTAAAATAATGTACATTATGTCTTACAGGCATAAAGACTGTGGAAAGACCTCATTTCTTCTGAAGGATGAACAAGGCATTAGCAGTAAGCGTCGTGTGAATGATGACAAAATTGCCAAAGATATCAACAAAAAGAGCAGGGTAGATATGACAAAAATCAGTGGCGGACACAAACCTAAAGAAGCAATTAAACCATGTAAGGTAGAGCCTAGTGTGTCAGACAAAAAAGGGGAGTGTGGTTCTGAATCCAAGATGAAGGAACAGCATCAAGAAACATCCATAGAAGAGACTTGTATAATAGGTACAAAATGGTTTTAAAAATGCACGTACATAAAAACTCCTGGCAAAACAAATGCATTTTTAAAACAGTTGCATGTGACTTACAACATGCATCTATGGTATAGCATGGTAGTTTACTAGAAAGAAGACTTTTTGTTTGTTTGTGTGTTATGGTTGGGTGGGTCACTCAGTTTTCCTGTAGATAACCTAGTGAGCTAGATCCCAAACTCCTGATAAAACTATTAATAAACTCCTTTTAGATTTATCCGCATGGGTAACATGTTGTGATGAAATGTTTTCATTCCTGCATCCATACAAGTCCCAACTGATTAAAATATTACTAAAACAGAACCAGAATTTGCCTCTGCAGTTCTATAGTGCTGCCTACCATTTTCTCATCAGTTCAAGTGTAGGGATTGCTGTTTTTTTTGTTTTGTTTTTTTTTGAGTTGGCACCATGTAGTGGTTGTAGTATTAGGACTATGGGTTCACCCGTGGAAATCAACTGGGTGACTTTGAGCAAATCACATTCTCTTGGCCTTAGAAGTCGGCAATGCCAAGCCCCTTCTGAACTTATCTTGCCAAGCATATGTTATGATAGGTTTGCCATAGGGTCATCAAAAGTCGGAAATGGCTTAAAAGCAGACAGCAACCAAGTGTGGGGAAGTCACAATTGAAACCTTGATTAGCATTTCTAGAGTGAACCTAGATAGAGAACCATCATTATAATTGACTCCTGGTCTCAATCTACATGACAAAATTAATATTATTTCTTTAAAAACCAAGACTGTGTTGTTTTGTTGTTGGGGGTTGGGGAGATGGTGCTTTACTTATTATTTAGGTGATCCCTCATTGACTGAGTAAGATTGTTCTCCTGCAGTGAGGGCATCGGTTTCCAGATGGAAGGCGATCCCGGTCTGGGTTGGCTTGACATGTCTTCCTCTTGGCATGTTTCTCTCTTTCGCCCTCCATTCGTGCCTCTTCAAATTCTACAGCACTGCTGGTCACAGCTGACCTCCAGCTAGAGTGCTCAAAGGCCAGAGCTTCCCAATTCTCTGTGTCTATGCCATAGTTTTTAAGGTTGACTTTGACCCCATCTTTAAATCTTTAAAGATGGTGCATAATGAAATTGTTAGTGCCATACGTGTCCATAACAACCTCTCTGTCTTTTTATTTTCAGATGATAGCCCTCCACCTCCAGCCCCTTTTGACCATAGGATTGTCTCAGCAAAAAGGATGGGGATCAATAGCTATTATCATGTTTACAAGGGTGAAGTTTTGGGAGGGTAAGTTCAATAAAAGCCATAGTTAGCAAATGAGGAATTTCCTCAAACAGTGGAAGGTAGGGAAATGAAAACACATTAGGCAGTTATACAGCTAGGATGGAACAATTAAGAAATCTACCCTAAACTTTGAAAGTCATCATCTGCATTTTGAATTCAGACTAGAAGCATGTTGGAAACCTTTCTTAGAATCTTAATGAGGACAATGTATTGCAATCTGTTGAGAGTATCCATTTGCATAAAAAATGTAGGAGTATAATTTGCATCCTTCCTAGCAAGAATATTACAGTTGGGAAATATTTGGACTTTTCTGTTTGAAGCAGAGTCTGGACAATTGTCTTTTGATTGCAACTTCCATGTATTGTTGAAAACAGTGCTGGGAAAAAATGTTTAAACCAGAGCTAAGAAATATCATTATTTAATTTCCAATGGAATAATTATCATATCATCACTGTAAAAGTTAGACTCAGGGTGTATTTACATTGTAGAATGAATGCAGGTTGACACCGCTTTAACTGCCAAAGCTCAATGCTATAGAATCCTGGAAGCTATAGTTTTACAAGGGATTTCCTCTCTCCAGAAGTCTTGATCAACTAAATCAAGTTAAACAATAATACAAAAAGAGGGTGTTTCTTCTATCCTAAAGGTGAACCATGAATGGTATTTTCCCTGATGCAGAAAAAAATCCTTCTAGAGAAGAGACCAGACAAATAATGTTTATAAAAAACAAAATAATAGTTATTTACTGTACTTATGCCTCGCTTTTCTCACTCAGGGTGGCTTACAAACTGTAGCAATAATGGCTTGTTGTAGGTTTTTCGGGCTCTTTGGCCATGTTCTAGAAGCATTCTCTCCTGACGTTTCACCTACATCTATGGCAAGCAGAGGTTGGGAGGTCTGTTGGAAATAGTGAAAAATGAAATCGGTCTTCAGCAACATTTCCCTCTTTTCTCTGTCCAGGGGACGATTTGGTCAAGTGCATAAATGTGAAGAAAAATCAACAGGCATACAATTAGCTGCTAAAATAATAAAAGCCAGAAATATAAAGGAAAAGGTAAGACTAGCTAAAGTGTGAAGAAAGGTTTGCAGTGAATCCCTGCATGAGAGATTTAGTTATCCAGACCTTTTGTTCTGACTGTGGCAGCAGTTTCAGGTGGCAGGAAAATAACATAAAGTAAAGCTTTTAATATGTAATCACTCTCTGGTGTTTTTCTGTTTTAAATTTTTGTATCTTTTAAAAACTTTTTTCCTGTTTTTCTATTTTTAAAGTATTTTGTTTTAATTAATTTTATCTGTAAGCTAAATTACCCCCGGTGGCACAATGGGTTAAACCCTTTTGCCAACAGGACTGAACACTGACAGGTCAGAGATTTGAATGCAGGCAGAGTGCGGATAAGCTCCCTCTGTCAGCTCCAGCTTCTCATGCGGCGACATGAGAGGAGCCCTCCACAAGGATGGTAAATATCAAACATCTGGGCATTCCCTGAGCAACATCCTTGCAGATGGCCAATTATCTCACACTAGAAGCGACTTGCAGTTTCTCAAGTCACTCCTGACATGAAAAAACAAATCTGTAAGCGGCTGCTTTGGGAGAAAGGTGACATATAAACAAAGAAGCAAACTAATTATTGTTTGTTTGGGTTTTTTTAAGCAGCACCTAGAATGCTATTACACTGAATGAATTGAGAGATTTTTCAGCTTCAGTATAGCTTGGTTAATTGTGACAGCCTGTCTGTGCACACAACATTGACAACATTGGGTTGTTGTAGGTTTTTCGGGCTATATGGCCATGTTCTAGAAGCACTCTCTCCTGACATTTTGCCTGCATCTATGGCAGGCATCCTCAGAGATTGTGAGGTTCTCACAGCCTCTGAGGATGCCTGCCATAGCTGCAGGCAAAACGTCAGGAGAGAATGCTTCTAGAACATGGCCTTATAGCCTGAAAAACTTACAACAACCCAGTGATTCCAGCCATGGAAGACTTCGACAATACAATGACAACACTGATTTTTTTCCCATTTGTACTTTTTTGAATTCCAGTGTCATGAGGTCAATAGCCCGTAACTACATTGCCTGCAAAACTGGGGAAACAAAATAACTTTATTAGTTCTATTTTCTTTCTGTTCATAATATTTGGGTAGAGGAGGGGAGACCCAGGGTGCATCTTCACTGGCCAGAAACAGCAATGCTGATCTGGAGTGTAGAACTCACTCCAGCATCACTGGAGGCTAAACTGCAGCCGGTTTTGGAGCTGGGTGTTGGCTGCAATGGGCAGCCCCGAACCAGCCCAGTAACGCAATGGCAACCACATGGCCACGTGACATCAGAAACCATTTATCTTTCCCTCTTCAACTTGGCAGTTGAGATGCTTGCCAGGCATAAAAATGGCACTGGTCACCAATCAGCACCTGGAGTATTCACACAAGAGAAGGGAATGGAGAAAGAAGGAGCTTCTCCCTCCTTTCCCCCTTCTCTTTTCTTCTACAAGAAGATACCAAATCCCAGTGTCTTACAAAAAATAGAACATTTCATATCAAATCATGAAGGAGCTGCACTCATATTAATCAGTACTCACATTCAGTTACATTTCATCCTGTATTTGACACTTTTTTTTTGTATACTTCACAGGATGAAGTAAAGAATGAGATCAATGTAATGAATCAGTTGGATCATGTGAACCTCATTCAGCTGTATGATGCTTTTGAATCAAAAAATGACATTGTCCTTGTCATGGAATAGTATGTATCCATCTAAATGTAATTTCTGCATCCTTTTCTTGTCTGTCTCTCTACTAGTAGACTTGCCGCAATCCTCTCCCTTCCCTACTGTGGTAGTTGTGCGCCCGGCAGGCCTGTAGCTGGGGGTGGGTGGGTTAGGGGTTCAACCCCCCCCCCCAAATCTCATGTTTTTAAAAAACAACTATTTTGGCTATTTTTAGCCTTACTAACCTTGCATACCTTGTATCTTATACCTTTTACGGAGCAATAAGGGTCTTTGGACTGTATTAAAAATGTTATTGTTGTGTTATCGAACTACTCTTCATGATTTGCTAAAAAAAAGTTTCAACCCCCCCCCCCCTCCATTTTTTTCTGGCTATGGCACTGGTGCTCGGTACCACAAAACCCAAAAGTATAGATAGTAAGGGAGTAGGAAGGATGCAGGTGAAAAATGACTTATTCTAAATACCTTCAGTCCATACCCAACCTCTAAAAAATAAACAATGGCCTGCATCTTCCATGTTCCTATTGTACCTGTGAATTTGCTGCAAAATGAATTTTCAATTACAATGTTTTTCTTCACAGTGTGCAGGGAGGAGAGTTGTTTGATCGAATTATCGATGAGAACTGCAACTTGACAGAGATAGACACCATTTTGTTCACAAAGCAAATTTGTGAAGGCATTCAGTATATGCATCAAATGTACATTCTTCACTTAGACCTGAAGGTAGTGTGCATTACTTTGTTGTTGCGTTTGTGTACTTTCAAGTTCTTTCTGACTTATGGCAACCTTAAGGTTAATCTATCATGTAGCTTGCTTGCCTTGCTTCCCTTTTTTCTTAATTGACCTTGTTTCAAAAACATATGTTTTCAGCATGTTTGTACATAATATTTGGACAGGGATAATAAAACCTCAAAATAAATATTAAAATCAAAGTATTTACCAGTTTTCTAGTGAAATTATTGCCGTCATAATTTTATTTTTATTTTTAATTAATTCTGTGCATGAGAAAGACTGGGTGTAGACTTGCTTAGCTTTCTGTACTGTAATAATTCTTGGTTTGAGCCATGATTTAGGAATGTCTCCACCACTAAGGACATTGTTTTAAAAGAACTGCATGTGGATAATTAAGTTTTTAACAAAACACTTGAATCAATTCAAAGGAGACGCCATCTATACCCAATGACTTTCCAGGTTTCCATCTTTTAGTTATGTCCATAACCTCCTCTGCCACTTTAGGTGGTAGAAGAGATCACAGTCACAATGAACTATTTATTTTATTTATTTATTTACCATACTGGTACCGCACCCTTCTAACCCTGAAGAAGACTCAGACAAGCCTAACAAAAGCAACAGTATGATCCCACATATATACTAACAATAAAATAAACAATTACATTAAAATTCAAAACGGTTAAAAACATCAATTATTAAACCATCAATTAAAAACACGCAATCCAAATCATATGCCAGGGCCATTCCTTTCATCATTGTTTTATTTCGTAATCTCTTATTACACTGCTCAAAGTTACTGACCAAAGGCTTGGTCTCATAGTCACATTTTTAGTTTTTTTCCTGAAGGTCAGGAGTGAAGGGCTGATCTAATTTCATTGGGAAGGAGTTCCATAGATGAGGGGCCACCACTTAGAAGGTCCTGTCTCTCGTCCCCACCAACCTCACCTGGGAAAGAGGTAGGACCGAGAGCAGGCCCTCCCTTGACGATCTTAAGCTCTGAGATGGATCATAGAAAGAGATATGTTCAGACAGATAAGCTGGGCCGGAACCGTTTAGGGCTTTATAGGCTAAAGCCAGCACTTTGAACTGTGCTCGATAGCAGACTGGCAGCCATTGAAGCTGACATAACAAGGGGGTTGTATGGTCCCTGTACGATGCTCTGGTGAGCAATCTGGCTGCTGCCCATTGGACCACTTGAAGCTTCCGAACAGTTTTCAAAGGCAACCCCACATAGAGTGTGTTGTAGTAGTCTATTTGAGATGTAACAATAGCGTGGACCACCTTGGAGAGTTTTAAAAGAAGGCTGTATAAGTGTTTTTTGCTAGCTCAGATTGATATATCTTAACATAGAATTGTACACATGCCTTGCTAAACTAACTATGTCAGTATATAGTCTGCCCTGCTCAGATGAACCATAGCAAAAATATTGCAGTTTTTCTTAGGTTTTTCTTTTACATAATTTATTTAGAGGAGATTCGCCATTGCTTTCCTCTGAGGTATAAAGTCATCCAATGGGTTTCTAGGGCCAAGCAAGGATTCAAATCCTGGTCTCCCTGAGTCCCTGACTGGGTTCAAACCACTACACCCTGCTAGTTGTTTGTGCTTTTAAAATACCATCCATATAATAAATGTGACATTTTTATGTACTTAAAATATCAGACGAATAAGCCTGAATGCCCTTTGGAACTCAGTTGATAGGTTTGATGTTTCCTATCAGATACTTTTAAGTCGGATGTGAGAATTGTTTCCCACTCATTCAAAACCGTTGGCTGTGCTAGGTAGATCTGCAGTCCAGCAACATCTTGGAAGTTGACATGTTTATCACTTCGGATTTAAATAAATGACCTCAGTTGATACTGTGATGTAGGAAGTTTGAATTCCTTATTGCTCTACACAGCAGAACTCATTAAATAGAACATGGCTAAGCTGTCTTTTGGTAATCTAGATGCATTTAACCTATAGGTCTTTCCACTTAGTGCGGTTGATTGGTCTGACATTCAAATATCTGACACTAGATTGGGAAGAACAGTGAACAATGGTGCCTAAAGTTGAAAGATAAATTTCAAAGAACAGTGAAAATGCCTTTTCTTAAATCTCCCCATGTCAGCTCCTAATGGGCGGCAAATCACAACATTGACTTCCTGAAGTCCAGTCAGAGTCTCTGCATTTCCTTTCTGAAACCCCACTAATGAGTTCTTTATCTTGAGTCACTGCATTATGTCAAACAGAAATGGCACAGTGAGGGAAAAGCTGTATTGGCAAAGTGTTCCCAGCTATGGAGACCACATGATTATAGTCTGGGATGGCCACAAAGTTGAACGTGCTTGGAGACACTGGCATCAAGATGAATATTTTTAAGCTCTGTTGTGATTTTTTTTTTTTGCTGATTCCACTGCTGCTCATTCCCCATGTCTCATAAATGTGTACTCTTTTTTTCTTCTGGCAGCCTGAGAATATTCTGTGTGTGAACCGAGAGGCAAATCAAATAAAGATTATTGACTTTGGGCTGGCAAGAAGGTAGGTAGTTTTAATCATGCTTACAGTGCACATTAATCTGATACTATACAAGGAGAAATGGGTGAATAACAAGTCTATTGGGGGGCTCAGTAGGCAGCACTTGATATGGATACACATGCAGTTTCTGTCCATTCTGGGCTTGACCTAGGGGC